GCCCTGGTTGTACAACAGCCTTTGATTCGTTTGCATAAAAGGAAAATAGGGATGTTTTCATGGCTATAATGTAAGAAGCTCGCTACTTGTTTTAGAGAAGTCATCTTAAGCAGTTTGTTGCTAGCTTACCTGGCAATTACGGCTCATTTTTACGACATTTAAATTGGTATGAAAACTGCTAGTTTGTGCCTAATGTTCCACCTTTAGCAAATTATCACATTAAGTTTGTGCGAAATGTCAACAGCAATTCCCCAGGATTGCCTGTAAAACAACATTTCACAATCAAAAGATAATTGCAGTCTGATGCTTTTTACAAATGCTTTTTTTCCACACAGCACTGCCAAGATGACTTTGAGTGGGTGAGAAAGTGAGTGTTGTTTTTAAAGCTGAGGCTTAGAGTGAGTCAGACAGTGAAGCCAACAGCATACAAGATGGGAGATGACGAGGAGACTGCAAGGAAATCTGTGGAGACTTTGACCGATACTCCACTCTTGAGTTGATAAGCAGGGGTGTTGAATTTGGATGGGAAATATGTATCTAAATTTACATCGAAACATGTGAATGTTTGAGACATTAAGATGAACGGCCAGTGAGGCAACAAGCACAGAATAGATTCAAACACATTAATACATGCATACATAAACCCCAGCCAGCAGTACATCTGGCACATATACAAAAATAGTTTGACAACCTAAATTGATGCACATGTGAACGAACACACACACACACACACACACACACACACACACACACACACACACACACACACACACACACACACACACACACACACACAGACACTAGGCACACACATGCACAGATTCAAGTCTCTGCTGGTGACCAGATTAACTTTTTTACCCCAGTAGTTGCAACATCTGCCCGCTACATCTGTCAGAACAGCGGCGAGAGGCTTTCCTCTCGCCACACAACAAATCCATCGATGCAGCTCAACCATTTACAGATTAACCGCTGCAATAATGCCCCCTCTAAAGTACATTGGAATCACATCGCACTGCCACACAGCATTGTACTTGTAACTGACCTGTAATGACCTTCAACATGAATTCTTCCACAGTGATATATTGATAGGGACTTTATTAGACACAATTGAAAGTTATTGGACTAAGTGGAGATAACAGATCAGATGCGGCTGCCGTCCCTTTAAGCTTAACCATGCTGACCCAGTTTTCTGGCCCAGACCCACTGAATGTAATTCAGTGAAGCTGTGAGGGATTCCTACTACTGTCTCATGTAATCATGTCAGAGGAGACAGGAATGGGAATTAAGATGCTTTTAACAAGGTTTTTAGCAGACTGGATATCTGCTTCTTCTCTCTCATTGTTCGCAGGCTTTAATCACGACAGACAGGAAGTTTTGAGGCTCTAATTTTAAGTCTTGTCATGTAGTTTCACCTGGAAAATTGCCCTAGTATTATACTGTTGCTTGCAGGCATGACAATCACAAAAATTAAATCACTTCCCTCTTTGGAGTTGGACATTTACCAGCTGTTTTTTGCCCAGAATCAAATTGTTGAATTCATGTAGTTTCACATCGGTGTTATTCTAAGTAAACGGAAACAGTGAAGTGGCACTGGAGTCTGTACAATTATTTTGAAAATTGGTCTGTTGTATCACTCTGCTCTTTAAGCCACTGGGGTACCTAGTGATGAGTGGCCAATTACATCCAGGCTGGAGAAAAAGGAAAACGCAGTACTAATGGAAAGTAGGAAGCAAATTGCAGAAATAATATTCTGCAATAATTAAAATGTACTTTCTGAAAACTCAGAAAACTGCATGTAAAAATGTTATTCACATGCAGTCATGTTTCCTCCTTGTTTTTATTGCAGGTCGGTCACTGGATCCTCGTCGTATCAGTACTCATCCGTGTCCACAGCAGCCTGATTTGGATGCTCTCTTTGAGGAGGTGATGCAAAAGGTGCGTCAGAGCGCACGTGGAGCTATTGCACCCATCGCATGTGTCCAGGCAGTGCGGGCGGCTGCCACCCTGCCCTACGCTCAGGGCATGGAGCGAGAGAGAGAGCTGATGGCCACTCTCTTCACCTCAGGCCAGGCCCGTGCCCTGCAGTACTGTTTCTTTGCTGAGAGAGCTGTTGGCAGGTGGAGGATGCCCAGTGGAGCCCGCTGGGACACAAGCAAGTCCAGGCCTGTGCATAAAGCAGCGGTCATCGGTAAAAGCTTCTTTAATTTCTATTTGTCTGAGGTAACAATAAGCACAAGCTCATTTATAGTTACGCTGAATGTATATGGATGAGCTCTCTGTACTCGGCAGTGAGGGTTGGATGAATGACAATCTGGATATGTGAAGCTCAGCAGCTTGTGCATTAAAATAGCAAGCATTGGAAAAATTCCCAGGCATAATATTTTTTCAGACTACCATTATTTACACAAAAACATTATTTACTGTGATTCTTCTTCTATATATGGTTATTTTTCTGATCCAAAATTGTCCAAGGTATGTGTGAATTGTGATTTGAGGTTTTATTTGATTTGTGATTTTGTCTAAAAAGGCCTCGGCACCATGGGGAGAGGCATTACCGTGGCACTGGCTCAGACCGGGTTGTCTGTGATCGCCGTGGAGACCCAGGAGAAGCAGTTGATGGAGGCAAAGCAGGCGATATCTGGCATGTTGGAGCGAGGAGCCAAGAGACGTGGTGTGGCTCCTGCTCTTGATGGAGTCATTTACAGCCAGAACATCCAGGCCGTGGCGGATGTGGACCTGGTCATCGAGGCTGTCTTTGAGGACATCGCCCTGAAGACCAAAGTCTTCCAGCAGCTTTCTGCCGTTTGTAAACCCGGCACATTACTGTGCACCAACACTTCTGCTCTAGACGTGGACCAGCTCGCCTCTGAGACCCCCAACCCCGAGCTGGTGGTCGGGATGCACTTCTTCGCCCCAGCCCATGTCATGAAGCTGCTGGAGGTAGTGTACGGGCCTCGGTCCTCTCCTCAAGCCGTGGCCACTGCCATGCAACTGGGGAAGAAAATGGGCAAAGCCAGTGTGGCAGTTGGCAACTGTCGAGGCTTCGTGGGGAACCGCATGCTGAAGCCATACATTGAAGAAGCGTTCTTCCTTCTGGAGGAGGGAGCTACACCAGAGTTAGTCGATCAAGCACTGGAGGAGTTTGGTTTTCCCATGGGTGTGTTCAGAATGTCCGACCTCTCTGGGCTGGACGTGGGATGGAGAGTCAGGAAAGGAGACGGGCTGGTGGAGCCTGGCACGGCGTCAGGGCGATTTGCTAGAATCCGACAGGGTCGCAGGTACAGTCCTCTGGGAGACTTGCTCTGTGAGGAGGGACGCTTCGGCCAGAAAACAGGCCGGGGGTGGTACCAGTATGACAAACCTGGCAGTCGGGTTGCCAGGTCTGACCCTTGGCTGCACAGCTTTCTGGGGGCGTACCGAGCCCAGCACGGCCTGGTGGCGCGACGCATCGACCACCAGGAGGTGCTGGAGCGCTGCCTCTACGCCCTGATCAACGAGGGCTTCCATATCCTGGATGATGGAATAGCTGCAGGACCTGAAGACATCGATGTCATCTATGTGTCGGGCTACGGCTGGCCCAGGCACCGTGGAGGTCCGATGTTCTACGCCAACATGGTCGGGCTGGCGAAGGTTCTGGAGAGGCTGGAGCACTACCAGCAGCTTCACCCTGAGGTGCCCCACCTGCAGCCCAGCAGCCTGCTCAGGAGGCTGGTGGCCAGCGGCAGCCCACCTATCCACAAGTGGGGGGAGGCCATCAAGAAACTCCACAGTCAGCTTTAAATCTTAAGCATTTTAGCTCTACGCTCTTAATTCACTTTAATAATGACAAGCTTACTGTGATAAACAGTAAATTGCTTATTGTGTACTCTTTAAAATGTCTAATATTTTTATTTTGTATATTGTGATTATGAATGTAATTATTGAAGGCTGCTGTGCTTTCTTTGATTTAATAATCATAATAGCTTTGTCTGTGCCAATTTATTAGGTACACAATGTAATATAATTATATACAACAACAGTAAATCATATCTTTGTTAAGCTGATTGAGCTTGTGTTGAAATTTTATCAAATACATTGATTTGACTTGCAATAGATTGATGGTTTAATTGTTTCTAAAAAAGTGTCTCTTGTTTGTGTAAATAGTGGCTGTACAAAACACTAGAAACACTAGAAAGAGAACATTTTATTGATTTTCCTATATTAGGCTTGAATGGTTTTAATGAATCATGAAACTGTTTTGTGTAATGTACACTATTTGATAATAAAAATAATCTGATGTCCAAAGACCTGTTTTATACTGATTTATTGGTTCGTATTGTACTTACTGTCCTATTTGTGTGAAACTGACATTATGTAGAGTAGCTATTGTTTGGCTTGTTATTCCAGCTCCCAGTGTGTCCAGGTAACGGCTTGTGGCATTTCATTTCATTTGTTTCATCAGTCAAACGACCTTCTCTGGAGGAGAAAAATCTAACTGTTCTTCATGTGTTAGTCTCTGGTTTCTGAATTTCTGCTGACTCAGGCACAGCGGTGACACAGAGCCGAGGGGGACACGCGGCGGTAAACTGCTCTTTATATAAATCAATGGCTCACCCTGAAATCTCACGCCTCAGAAGAGCAGATGTTGGGGTTGCTATCTAGCGGTACAAGGCTTCAGACACAGCAGCTGGATTTTACATTATAATGCTTTATTTTGTACTTCATACACTTCTGGACGTGTTATCTTTTAAAACAGGTAAATAAAGGAATCATGAATTGAGAAAGAAGGATATTAAAATGTATCCAAGAATACAAAAGAGCGTATAATCACAACACTTATCCTATTAAGGTTAATTAAATCTTTCTTTCAGATCCAGACCCTGCCATGGTGTTTTGAAGTTTTATAAAGGGGCCGAGCCAATGAAAGCTGGATGTGTGTTTGAAGTGCGCAGAGCAGCTGGCTTTGTGTGAGTGGACTCCTCCCGTTGTGTGATGAAGTTCAGATGCGCGCCGCTGTTCCGTACGCGCGTCACCAGCGCACAGAGGAGCTTCCCGACGCGAGGGGGAGGCTGGAGAGATGTGTGGATCACAACCATGGAAGGCTTTGAATGTCACATTACATGCATCTAATTGACGCTATTCGACTTTTACAGGATATGTTTCCACCCTTCATATGAGCAGTAACCCAGCTGCTCGGGATTCAGAGATCCAGCGCCGTCTTTCGCGTCTGTCTCCCAGTTGAGAAGCTTCCTGGGCTGCGTGGACCTTACAACCTCGGCTCGGTCCGTCGCGATTATGTTATAGTTTACTCGGACGAGGCTTTTTGTTTTCATCCAGGAAATGTTGGCATGGCCTCTTCGCGAGGTAAGAAGTGTCCGAAGAGTAAGAAGTTGGACGAGGCGCAGGCTTTGGCCAGGAGCTGCGCGGGGAGACCAGACTTCCTGCCGTGTGATGGGCTCTCCATCTGCGCGACCCACAGCCACGGGAAGTGCTTCAAGCTGCACTGGTGTTGCCACCTGGGATGGTGTCACTGTAAGTTTGTTTAAATGCTTTAATAGTATAACCATAATTATATCTCACTGTGGTGCCAAAATCTGGCCATGTTGTGTGGGCAGAAGCATCAGTTCACTGTAGTCTTCTTTATGTGGAGAGGAGAAATGATAGTCAACATTTGCTGCCCCGAGATGTTATAACATCTTTGATAAAACTTCCTACATATTTTATAGTTTTGTTTATATTGCAATAATATCAAGGTGAAACTTGTTATCTATGGAGTCACATTCATCCTTGATCCAATATGCATAAACAGACACCCTTGTATGAATAGTTTATGTAGTCCAAACAATGGAGGTGGCAACATTCAGAAGCAGGGAACTCGGTTTGAATTCATGGTTTCAGTGTTACTTGGCCTACCATTCTTTTTTTTTCCTATATATTTTTTTATATATTCCTACAATTTCGGTGACCAGGCCAATTCGGCAGTATGCTGAAGTTTATTGTGCCATAGATTAAATATTCCATCGATGAATCCTCCAGCAGCCCATAATCTTAGCTTTCAATTGTCAATGTTACATTATTGAAAAACACAGATAATTATAAATAATAATGAACTATTTCTCTGTAAGTGCACATTTATACTCTAAATGATATGCAGTCAAGCTTAAAGAATGGATGAAACTAGAATAACTGAAATAATCTTAATGTTGATATTCTGATGTCTTCCAAATGACTTTGACAATAACTCCATATAGGCAGCTTATGCTCTATCATATTGGTGATTAATGCATCTGTGTGTGTTACATCGTTTATTTGATAGCATATTTATCAATATAGTATGTAAAGTACTCAAAAGGACTGATCGGAAACCAAAATGACAAAAAAAAGGACAAACTGGGTTTGTCCCAAGTGACGTCACACTTAAGTCATCATTTTCATTTCTGCTTTAAAGGATGAGTCTTGTGATATTTTTCTGCTGTCAACACATTCCATGAAGAGACCAAAACCAACAATGATTCTTCCAACAAGAACAGCCTGAAATAGCCTATTCCTCTGTGTCATACACATAGACCATTTTAAACACACTATTACTTCATCATGATGACCGTGGGCTCTGGAGTGTATTTTGAGTGAATCCCACGTTGAAAAACTAAGTGCAGTAAATACTCTCTAGTCTAGAGCATCAAATGTGTATCAATCCACAATTTTTAAAATAGTCCCCAATACATGCACTGTTTATTTTTGTTTGAGTAATGTTTAATAAAAATTGCCCAGCGGATTTAGTCAATCATTTAGGGCTGACATTTTTCACTTAACTAAATATAGGGCAGTAACCATATCAGATTTTAACGATACAATTATTGTGACCAAAACATTTCATGATGACTCATTATTATTGTGCTACCTGTAAAAATGTACTATCAGTCAAATGAGTTTCTTACTTTTTTGTTGTTAGTGTTGTTTTTTGTCAAAATTGCATTATATAAATACCAGGTTGCGGTGAAGAGGGAATCTGTAACCATACATTTAAAGAAATTGAAAGGATTTAGGAGGTGTTGTATTTTTTTAATTGTATTTTCATGTATATTTTTAACATAATATCAATACAACCTTTTTGAAATGTCAGAAATCTTGTTTGATACTACTATATCGCCCCACTTATATGCCAAATACTTGATAATATCGACTAAACTCAACAGTATTACCACATTATATAAAAAATACATTTTATATTCATTGTTGAATTGACAGTTTTGGTAGTAGCACAGGGCCCTTACTCAAACATGGAACATTTTCGTTTAATTTTTTGGCAAAGTGTTAGTGGCATTTACTCTACCCACAAATCCTACCCACAACACTTTCTCTCCATTTGAACCTTTCTCGACCTGTCACTTCCACACGACTTCAGAACCACAATAGCCGAGCCTTAACCTGACAGGATGCCCGTCTCTTTGTGCTGCCCTAATTTATCCTAGCTCTGGCTCCCCTATACCCTCATAAAATCCTGAGATCAGTGTAAAACACAATCACCCTCCACTCTGCACCACTTAGTCGGGGCTTATAGTGTGCAACTGGTCACATTGTAATCTTTGCTGTGTAATCATTGGATTTAGATGCCTGACTCCGTCCAGAATGAGCCAAGCAATTTGAAATATCTGATGTGTCTGATTATTTTCCATCCACATCTGGGATGTATGTTTCTCAGCAATGCCAGCGTTACATCATTTGTAAACATTAATACCTGCTCCTCCTTTCTGCTTTGGAATATTCATCACTCGTATATGTGTTGCACAATGGACATGGATGGGTATTATTCCCCTTTATTGAATTCAGGCTGTTATGGTATAGAAGAATGAGCCAGCCTCATCATAATGGAGCTTCTCACCTTCACATTTCGGACCACTCTAATTCACAGGTTCCCCTCACAGGACACTCTAGCACCACAGTTTGAATAAACAAGCTTAGATTGCTGAATCAGGCAGAAACTGGGCACCCGGTGAGAATGGAATAGCAGTGTGCTGCTGCATGCAATGCCCCCCGTCTCAAACCCTTCTTTGTAGCAACTCATAATAATGTTGGATGCATCACTCCCTTTACCTTGTCACATTTTATTTGTATTAGTGCCTATGACTGTTGCCTCGGATATAAACTTGTTCTCAGGCTGATAATTGTGTATTTGCCACAGGGAGCCTTGCCAGACTGCCTTTTTAATTACATTTTTAATGGGTTTCTAGGCAAACAAATACAAAGGGTCAATGTTTAGTAAGGCGTTGGCTCAGCAATTTAATTCTCAAACACAAATGATCATTTCATCGTACCTGTGGAACAGCGATTACCTGTGACTTAATTCTTGGCTTCTACTACTTCCTACGTGCCATTGCATCCAAAACATCTCTCTCTCTCTCTTCGGTCTTCTTTGTCTTGACTTTGCAGCCTACAGAAACTAAATGATGCTTTAATGGTTTTCTGTGGTAGTTTCCACTTTGTTGAAGCTTTGTTACATTTCTGGCTGAGAGGCCGTGTTCCCAGCTGGTGACAACATCAGTCCAAGCCTCTCATTATTTGTAATTAGCTGTGGTTAGTGTCACCGCCAATATATCATGTCTGATGAGAGCTTCTGCTAACAGCAAGCAACACTGGAACCACCTGGTCTGAATAATCTTTCTCTCTCTTTATCCTCAACTAACTGATTACAATTACCAGTCAGAGCGAACAATTGCTCATTAAGAAATTCTAACAGAGTCTAATGAGTCCTGAACAGTCTTGTCAGTCTGTTCGTTCTCTGCCAGCTCCAATTTCATACCTTACAACTTGTACTTCTGTTGTAGTTACAAGAAAGTGGGATCTTTCTGTCAGACTTCATCATCTCATCTGTCACATCACACAGCTAGCTTGCAGCTATTCTAAAGGGAAATGTGTAGGACTATCGGATAAAGCTCTTATTGATTGATTTGCTGACCAATTCAAAATGTGCTGCAGTGGCCGACCATAAAAAGCTTCAACTGTTATTAAAGGATCGATTCAGTGTTAGCACAGGCCAGAGGGGATGTTTCTAGCTGGACTGTTGGGAAGCACTTTAACTTATTGTCCCACAAAGTTGGAAACAAAGGGCAGCACTAAACCAACTTCATCATGTTTTTAAAGGATTGCAGATCATTTTCAAATCTGTCTTCATATAATACCACATGTTATGTTTGTTGCTGTCCACTCATCGCAGCATGTACTGTAGCAGAAAAACCAACACATCCTCACTCCCAGGTCGGCCTATGTTGACGTTATGTCAAGTCCTGTGTCGGCTTTTTCCAACGCAAGGGGGGGGGCCTTAGCGTCCATTTTCAACGCAAGAGGGGGGCCCTTAGCGTCCATTTTCAGCTTTCCGGGATGTCCATATGCTTCTATGGACGCTCATGGAAGCACGGCATTCGTTTGTGTCGGCTGCCCTTAAAGGCAATGTGAGCGTCCATTCTCATTGGATAACGGAGAATTGTACACCCGGAAGTAAGTATTCCCCTTACTGTCGATTGATTTTACAGTGTTATCTGCACTACTCATCGACTAAAAAACACCAGATTATCCTTGTTAATTACACAACATTGATTGGTTTAAATTGTGTGCAATGCTTTTGTATTTTTCCCCTTCGATTCGGAGAAACAAATGTTTTTTCGGAGTAAAGGATGGCAGAAGACACTACACTATCCAGAATCCCCAGCTATCGTTTGGACTACACCATGTGCTCTGTTTGACAAACCCCGTGATAGTCCTCAAGCTCTGTGATTGGAGAGTGTGCTCCGAGGGTTACGCCGAGCCTCGAACGGCAGATTGTCCAAAACTGGATTTGAACGGGACCACCGCGTCCCCCCCCCTCCCCCCCCCCCCCCCCCGTCCCCAGAACTACACATGCTGGCTATTCTGTTTCGCAACATGTTCTCTATCTATGGCACGTCTCTACTGGGAGTTTTAGTTTTAAAAGACGTTTTCGTATTTCCCATAATAAGAAGTTGCCAGTATTAAACTGTGTACATCCCTGGAGGTTTATGGGATAGGAAACACTCACATTTAAAACATATAATTAATAAATGGGTGAAAATTGCTTGTGCCCATAATGGGCAGCATTAATATATATACACACATGCCAGCTAAGGTCAGAAGAGCTTTATTTAACAGCTGGTCTTATGTTTGTGACCCCTGTTGTTAATTGATTACATTACATTAATTGATAAGCCTGAAACATGCACTTGTCAAGGTTCAGAGGCACATTTTGCAAATATGGCAGTAGCCATCGATCATCTTAAGATAAGATATACTTTATTGATCCCAAGTTGGAACATTTGCGTTACATCGGCATATGTAACAGTTAAATATGCAGTGGTGTTTATTTGTAAATCATTTAGTATAATCACACAAATTCTGTGTTTTATATTCAACAATTCTGTGTTCTTTATTTATTGATTGTTCAATACCTGACAAGGCCGGAGATGAAATATCTACATACATCTTATAAGAGTATAATACATTATGTATAATATCAGTTAAAA